TGGAAGAGTTTGAGAAGGATAGGTTTTAACTCTTCTTTGAACGTTTGGTAGAATTCACTGGTGAAGCCATCTTGTCCCGAACTTTTATTTTGGGGGAGGTTTTTGATGGTGGTTTCATTTTCCTCGATGCTGATGGGTCTATTTAGATTTTCCAGTTCTTCATAATTGTCTAGGAAGGTTATATATTTCTAGGAACTTATCTATTTCTCCTAGGTTATTGAATTTGGTGGCATATAGTCTTTCATATATTCTAATATGACCCTTTATATATCTGTAATGTCTGTGGTGACTTCTCTGTCAATTCTGATTTTGTTTATATGGGCGTTTTCCCTTTTTTCCTTAGTGAGTCTAGCCAAGGGTTTGTCAATTTTATTAATCTTTTCAAAGAACCAGCTCTTTGTTTTATTAATGTTTTATATAGTCTTTTTGTTCTCTGTTTCATTCAATTCTCTAATTTTTATGATTTCCTTTCTTCTGCTGACTTTGGGTTGCTTCTGTTCTTTTTCTAGTTCTCTAAGATGTGATATTAGGTTGTCTACTTGGGATTTCTCTCATTTCTTGAGATAGGCCTGTAATGATGTTAATTTCCCTCTTATTACTGCCTTTGCTGCATCCCAGAAGTTTTGATATGTTGTATTGTCATTCTCATTTTTGTCTATATACCTTTTGATCTCATCTTTTATTTCTTCTTTGACCCAGTTATTTTTTAGTAGTATGTTGTTTAATCTCCATGTATTTATGGGTTTCTTGACTTCCTTTTTGCAGTTGATTTCTAAGTTCAAGGAATCGTGGTCAGAGAATATGCTTGGTATAATTTCAATCTTCTTGAATTTGTTGATGCTAGTTCTGTGACCCAACATATGGTCTATCCTTGAGCATGTCCCATGTGCTCTGGAGAAGAATGTATAATCTGATGCTCTGGGATGAAAAGCTCTGTAAATGTCAATTATGTCCATTTGGTCTAGCGTTTCATTTAAGGCCAATATTTCTTTATTGATTTCCTGTTTGGTTGATCTATCTAGAGCTGTTAATGGAATGTTAAGGTTCCCAACTGTGATTGTGTTTTGATCTGTTTCTCCCTTTAGTTCTGTGAATAGTTGTTTTATATATTTCAGTGCGCCCTGGTTGGCTGCATATATATTAAGAAGTGTTATGTTTTCTTGATGTAGTGTCCCCTTTATCATTATAAAGTGTCCATCTTTGTCTCTTGTTGTCTTGAAGTCTACTTTGTCAGATATAGGTATGGCTGCACCTGCTTTTCGGTGGATGTTATTTGCTGGGAGAATCATTTTCCACCCTTTTACTTGAATCTACCTTTGTCTGTACAGCTTAGATGTGTCTTTTGTAGGCAGCATATGGTTGGGTTTTGTTTTTTGATCCACTCTGCTACTCTGTGCCTCTTTATTGGTGAATTCAGACCATTTACATTTAGGGAATTTTTTTTTAATCCTCAACAGAGGATATTTTTTTCCATTGCTTTTCAGAGAGAGTGGAAGGGGGGAGAGAAAGAGAGAGAGAGAGAGAGAGAAAGAAACTTCAATGTGACAGAGACACATCGATTGGTTTGCTCCCACACGTACCCCAACCAGGGCTGGGGATCAAGCCTACAACCAAGGTATATGCCCTTGTCCAGAATCGAACCCAGGACCCTTCAGTCCATGAGCCAGTGCTCCAACAACTGAGCAAAACCAGCTAGGGCTAGGGTAATTATTGATGTATGAGGATTTCCTATAGCCATTTTATCTTTTGTTTTCTGGTAGCTCTGTGCCTCCATTGGTTCTTTTTCTTTGTACTTCTGTCTCTTGTTTTTGTTTGGTGGTGTTTCACACTTCTTTCCTCTGTGTCCCCCTTTTTTAAGCTATGTATCCTGGTTTAGGGATTTTTGTGTGTGGTTACCATTACGTTTATAAAAAATAAAGTTGCATATTTACAATAGGTTTTTTTTTTCTTTTGAGTGCATCTGATGTTCATCCTCCTTTGGCAGTTCAGACCTTTGCCCTCTCCCCTTTATGTTTTTGTTGTCACAGATTATCCCTGTTTATGCTGTAAGTTTTCTGATGATCTTATTCTTAGTGTTGTGACCTTATGTTCTTTGTTTCAGGTAGAATAACTCCCTTGAGTATTTCCTGCAGTGGGAGTTTCCTGGTGATAAAATCTCTCAGCTTCTGTATGTCTGGGAATGTCTTTATTTCTCCTTCATATTTAAAGGATAATTTTGCTGGATGTTATTTGTGGCTGGTCATTTCGCTCTTTCAGATGTTTGTATATTTGGTTCCACTCTCTTCTGGCTTATAGAGTTTCTGCTGAGAAGTCGAATGAAATTCTGATGGGTTTTCCTTTGTAGGTCATTTCTTTCTTTTCCCTGGCTGCTTTGAGAATTTTTTCTTTGTCATTAATTTTTGACAGTTTTAATACAATGTGCCTTGGAGATACAATGGGCCTCTTTGGATTGAGGTAACTAGGTGTTCCGTTTGCTTCTTGGATTTGAGAATCTAGTTCTTTCCATAGATTTGGGAAGTTCTCATCCACTATTTGTTTGAATAGACTCTCCATTCCCTTCTCCCTCTCTTCTTCCATTTGCCTATTATTCTAATACTGCTTTTTCTGATGGAGTCAGATAGTTCTCATAGAGCTCTTTCTTTTTTTTTCTTTTTTTTATGCTCAGGTCTCTCTTTTCTTCCCTCTGCGTCACTCCTAGATTCTTATCTTTGATATCACTAATTCTTTCCTCCATCTGGTTGGTTCTGTTTTCTGTGCTCAGTAGCTCATTCCTAATCTCCTTAATAGCATGCTTCATTTCCAGGATTTCTGATTGGTTCTTTTTTAAAGTTTCAATCTCTTTGGTAAAGTATTCATTTTGTTCATTGATTTTTTTTTTTCCCTGAGTGCACTGAATTGCCTGTCTGTATTTTCTCACATCTCATTGAGTATTTTCAGAACTGTAATCTTGAAATCCCTTCATTTATATCACATATTTTCATGTGTTCCAGCTTGATTTCTGGGGATTTTTCATTTTCTTTCTGATCATCCTCGTTACCGTGGTTATTTATGGTATTTGCTACTGTCCTTTGTCTAGACATGAATATCCCTTCTATAGCAGTGATCTCTGAAGAGGTCTTTCTACTATTTTCCAGTAGATGGTGCTGGAAAACAGTAGAAAGTTTTTACCTCTGTGATCTCCTGGACTTGACCTCCAGGGCTTCCAAAAGACGATACAGTCACGCTACTTAGGGCTGAGGTTTGCTTTACCTTCACCATAATGGCAACCCTGGACCTCCGTGGGGTCCATTCCCTAGCACCAAACACCAGGATCAGTCACAGAGGGAAACAGCAGTTCCACTACAATACCTCTTGGTTTACAGATAAAATGTTCCTTGACCCAATACCGAGGGAAACGGGAGGTGCGTTTTGGGATTCCAAGGGGCGGCAGGGCTCTGTGGTTCCATTTCTTCATCAGAGACAACCCCACCTGACAGCGGACAGCTGCGAAGCAGAACCCCCGCACTCTGTCAGGCATCTGCTGACTCAGTCACTGTTCTCTCCACTTGCCCTGCTGGACTGCTCC